TAGACATTGTTTCTTTGGGATTCTGACTGATAACTTTGTGGAATGTTTTGGTGACAGGATTATGTGCCAACTGTGTTTGATAATTTCAGTGCCAATGTGATTGTCGATGGGAACACAATCAACTTGGGATTGTGGGACACTGCAGGTAAGTTTGCTTTGATATTTTTTTCTCCTTTTCTTGTGTCTCTTTGTTTTTCAATTTCTGTGTTTGATGAAATACAGGACAAGAGGACTATAACAGACTAAGACCGTTGAGCTATCGCGGGGCTGATGTGTTCTTGCTTGCATTCTCTCTCGTTAGCAAAGCTAGCTATGAAAATGTTGCTAAAAAGGTTAGGATTAATCGTTTGTCGCCCTGTGAAACTTCTTTAAATATCTCACTTCCTCCAATGTAGCTAGTGATTCTGATAATTGCTATTTTTGGTGTTTTGCCTCCGATTTCTCAGTGGGTTCCTGAACTTAGACATTATGCTCCCGGTGTTCCCATCATTCTTGTTGGAACAAAGCTCGGTGAGTTCTTTTTTTATTTCATTTAAGTATCATCCATAAGACAAGTGAGTTCGGACTAACGGATGCTCTTTCAGATCTTCGAGACGATAAGCAGTACTTTATCGAGCACCCTGGAGCTGTGCCTATATCTACTGCCCAGGTACCTTTCCTCAGCTCAATCTCACTGATTGTTTTTTTAAACCTTCTCTAAGTTTTTATCGGCTTATGTCCCTTTTTATCCATCGTCTGTTTTTTTTTTTATCCTTTCAAAGGGTGAAGAACTGAAGAAGTTAGTTGGGGCTCCTGCTTATATAGAATGCAGTGCAAAGACACAACAGGTACCTCTTTATAACTTCTACCTTTGGTTAAAACCGAAAACAAAACCCCGCTGACAAGACCTTGTTCGATCATTCTATTGACGTACAGAATGTAAAAGCTGTGTTTGATGCGGCTATCAAATTAGTTCTCCAGCCACCCAAAAACAAGAAGAAGAAGAGAAAATCTCAGAAAGGCTGCTCTATATTGTGATTCTAGAGAAGAAGATCTAGTTAAGGAAGAAACACGAACCAAACTTAACTAATCCTTGTTGCCGAGTTTGCAGACCCATTTTTCTCATTTCCACCAAACAGGAATCTGTTGTTTGTAGACTAAAAAGACCGACATATCAGAAAAACTCATTGGTCAAGTATTTGAAACTTCTAGGTTGTATTCTTGTTTGCGCTCCGAATCTGTAAATATATGAAACCACGTTTGCTTTCGATTCTATTAGGGATTATTCTCCCAAGTGTTTATGCAGGTTCGGTGGTGTTATTACAAGAGATGGTCGCAAGAGGAGATCAATAACTTTCTTTCTCAAACTTCTTTGTTTGTGTACTCTGAAACGATTTTGATTTGCAAGTTGGTAAGTTCGATTTCACCGATTGCTGTAAACTTGCATCATTTTGCTTGTCCAATGAACATGGACATTAAGACAGGAACAACGGATGTTGTAATAACGATTCTTTTTGTTAAAAAATTCTGTTTCTCAGATTCTTCTGGAGAACAAGAACTTTACCAAGTCCCATTAAAGACCGTTCAATAGATATGGTATATAGTGCATCAAGCATGTAAGACCATCAGCTTCAAGGTAAGTTTCTCTTTCAGAATCAGAACAAAAGAATGAATCTTTCTCCATTATCTTTATGGCCAAAGTGGGCGGCTAAAAAGAGACTTGTCCAATGACATTTACAAATTACAATATTGCTTAAACAATTCTAAATGGAATTCTGAGTGCAACCATTCCTGTTTGCAAGAGAATCATCAATCTCTGCTTACGGTTCACGCTTTAAAAACACACCACCTCTCATTCACCTTCTCTGCACAAACCATCAACAGATTTTTGTTTCTCTTTTCCCTCGGTTTCTCTCTAGTGCTAGTTTCCCTTGAACCAAACACTTTGTAACCCGATGGCAACAAGACGGATATTGAAAGAACTAAAGGAGTTGCAGAGAGACCCTCCTGTGTCATGCAGTGCAGGTAAAATATCACAGCTTTGTATCAAACTAAGATCACTACTGTTTCTTCTAAAAGTTTGACCTTTTCTCTCTCGTTTGTTTCGGGGTTTTCAGGTCCTACAGGAGAAGATATGTTCCACTGGCAAGCAACGATAATGGGTCCGAACGAAAGTCCATACTCTGGAGGTGTTTTTCTTGTCAATATTCATTTCCCTCCGGATTATCCTTTCAAACCTCCCAAGGTAATCACCAAAAGGCACAAAACCAACAAGATTAGATTGTTTCTGATTTGGTTTAACATAAAATTTTGATCTTTTTATGTTTTGGTTGATGTTTTCAGGTTGTATTCAGAACCAAAGTGTTTCACCCAAACATAAACAGCAATGGAAACATTTGTTTGGACATTCTCAAAGACCAGTGGAGCCCTGCCCTCACTATCTCTAAGGTTTTTCTAATCATGAAAACACTATTCTTCTTTTTTCAAGATTTTTCGATTACATAAAAGGACTAAACGTTTTGGTCTTGCAGGTGCTTCTCTCTGTGTGCTCTCTTCTTACAGACCCAAACCCGGATGATCCTCTGGTTCCAGAGATAGCGCAAATATACAAAACTGACAAGGTCAAATATGAAGCCATGGCTCGAAGCTGGACCCAGAAGTATGCCTTGTTCTAAACTCACAGCTTCAAATTTACCCTTCTTCATTCTTTGCAAAATGTCTACAAGTTCTCTTTTTTCTTCTTCTTTTGGTTTGGTCTGATTTTTGTAATAATAAAACAAAAGAAGTGAAATATTTATTTGTGATCTGATCTCTGTTTCTCCTTGTTAAATTGAGAAACTTGCTTTGTAATATTTCCTGACTATCAATTTTAAGTTTTGCCTAGATTTTTCTTTTTGTTAGTTTATTGGAATTCAAAATGGTGTTAAGGCATTGCTTCTTGGTAGTTGATCAGTCTTATTCTTTGTATTAACTACTACTCAATTCAAACCCACTCATTATTCGATAGGTGCATATGATTATTATAGCATATGATTATTATATTTAACAGAAATAAATCATCAGAGCGTCTATGTGTTACAATATTATGGTAAGTTTTGGTTTTATTTGTTTTTACGTGAACAAATATCATTTATACATTTTGGGCTAATTTACTCACT